TGACGTTTCGCTTGGTGATTTCATAGGAATGAAAAAATTACTTAGTGGGCTGACTGGAATGACCTGATAGGGTCAGGTAGGTGGTGATGGTTGCCGATATGATGCTTTCAGGGCATAGTTCTAGCTGCTCAGTCAAATTATGTTCCAAAATAGGGAAATCAGATCAAACAAAAATGATCCTAAATGGTATGAAAACAATAGATTATTAAATCTTCTGATTGGTCAAAAGAGAGGCCTATATAGCAAATCAAAGAGGAGAGGGGCATTGAGAGAAAAATCGATATATTCAGTTAAAGAGAGAAATAAAAAAGGATTAGAAAAGCAAAAAGAGATTATGAGGGTTAAAGTTGCAAGAGAATGAAGACTAACCCAAAAGGATTTCTTTCAGGTATACAGAAGTAAGATCAGGGGACAAGATAGGCCCACTCAAAAGGTTCTCGGGTCAGCTCACTGACAGTGATAAGGAAATGTGTAGAATTTTTAAAACATACTATTCCTCTCAGTTTTTACGCAGGAGTGATACCCGCGATATTCCAGTAATGATAACTTATGTAGAACAGGACGATAATAAACTGTGCACTATTAGGGTACAAGTGGACATGGTTCCTCGAGGCAAATTAGATAATTAAAACCTAACAAAATCCCCAGGCTGATTGAAACTGTATGCAAGGGTTCTAAAGAAAGGTAAGAGGAGCTTAGCCACACCTTTGGCTAAGCTTTTCAACTATCACTACAAACTGGCATGGTGCCAGTAAGTGGAAAAGGGCAAATGTGATACCTATTTTCAAAACCAGGTGACAGGTCCTTGCTTCTACTATGACCAATAAGCCTAACCTCCATTGGGGAAATTTATGGGAATCATTAAAATGGAAGGCCGTTCGTAGCCAACTTGGAAAAGTAAATTAATCAACGTATCTCAGCTGGTTTTACAAAGGGGCGTTCCTGCCTTACGAATTTATTAACTTTTTTCACTAAGGTATTTGAGGAGGTAGATCCTGGTAATGGAATACGATATGTGTATATGGACTTCAGTAAGGCTTTATGACAGGTCCCACATCAGGAGACTAGTGAGGAAAATTAAAGCACATGGAATAAGAGGAGAAATTTTACCTGGATGAGGCATGGTTGACAATAGGCAGCAGAGAGTTTGCATATAGAGGAGAAAGAAATCAGAGTGGGGAAAGCGTCACGAGCGGTGTTCCACAGGGGTCCAGTGTTGGGCCCCCCGCTGTTCACCAATTACATAAAACGAATAGATGAGGGCATAAAGGCGCCATCGGCAAGTTGCGATGACACCAAAAGAGGCCGTCGATTCATTCTGACGAGGACATTCGAGCACTCAGGAAGATTTGAATAGACTGATTGCAGTGGTCGGAGAAGTGGCAGATGCAGTTTAATATAAGACCAAATGCAAAGTTTAAATGTTGGACGGACAATAACCATGCCACATATAAAACTAAATAATGTAGATCTTAAATTTACGGATTGCGAAAAAGATTAGGAGGTTCTGGTTAGAGTAATCTGAAACAAGATCAACAGTGATAGTGTTCGCATAAAAGCTAATAGATCCTTGGTTCATATCAAGAAGCTTAAATAATAGGACGTCCTCAGGTTGTTCTTCAACTCTATACATCCTTGGTTAGGCCTCATTTAGATTATTGCTGCACAGTTTTGGTCACGTTTACAGAATGGATATAAATTCTCTGGAAAATGTACAATGGAGGGATGACAAAGTGATCCCATGTATCAGAACCTACCCATGAGGATAGGACTAAGGGCTCTGAAAACTGTACTCTCATAGAAAGACGTAGAATTAGGGGGGATATGATTGAGGTTTGTATAAATTGGAAGAAGGAATAAATAAAGGGGATGTAAAGAGTGTGCTGAAAATTATCTAGCCTAGACAGGATTCGCAGCAAATGGTTTTTTTAAGTTGAAAATTCAGATTCAGGAAGATATAGGAAAGTACTGGTTGGTAATAGAGTTGTGGATGAGTGGAACAAACTCCCAAATACCGTTATAGAGGCCAGAACGTTGCTTGTAGCTTTAAAAATAGGTTGGATAAATTAACATGAGTAGATGTGGGGTGGGTGTGAGTTAGACTGATAGCTTGTGCTCCAGGTCGGTGGCCGTTGTTCCTCCTTAATTCAATGGGACCTGACCTGACTAGGTTTGGGTTGCATTTGGCTTAAAGCCGGTAGGAGACTTGGACCTGCCTGCATGGGCATAGGCCTTCTGCAGTGTATCCTTCGTTCTTATGTTCTATGTTCTATGTTTCGCTCCATTCTCTCCACAAGTCCGAACACCTCAAAACACTTCCTCAGGCCCTTGGACAACAGTTTTGGTAATCCCGCACCTCCTCACTAACTTCCAAACTACGAATTCTCTGTATTATATTCACACACACAAAATTTTGCTTTTCTCCAGACATGACATCTCCACTGCTCCAGGCCTTTCCTTCGCTGCAACATTCATCACACCATGCTTCACACCCATTTAAGAGGCGTTGGTAAACTATAACTTATTACAGTCCCCTCTTTGGCCTCCAAGGACAAAGTTCTTTGTTCCACAGCACTCCTAAGTGCACACTCACCCTTTTCCCCTCATCAATTCTATGATTCACCTCATCTTTCATAGACCCATCCGCTGACACGTCCACTCCCAAATATCTGAATACTTTCACCTCCTCCATACTCTCTCCCTCCATTCTGTTAGTGAGGAAATTATAGATCCATCGACCGACTTTTCCTGTTATTCCTTTAGCACGCATTTTGTGCACTATTACGCCATGGGCACACTTGTCCAAGCTTTTGCAAAGTCTGTATATATTACATCTGCATTCTTTTTGTCTTCTAGTGCATCTAGGGCCTTGTCGTAGTGATCCAATAGTTGAGACAACAGGAGCGACTGTTCTAAACCATGTTTCCCTGGGTTGTGTAAACTGATGGGTTGTAGCTAGATGGGTGGTTTGATCTTGCTTCTTAGTTTTTTTGGACCTTTCAATGATTTTTATGATATGGGATGTTAGTGATATCAGTCTGTAGTGCTTTGCTGTTGCTTAACTGCCCCTTTGTGGAGTGGGGCTATGTCTGTTGTTTTTTAGTAACTGTGGTGCGACCCCCGGTCGCCATGCTCCCTCTCCTTAGGATGGAAAAGGCTCGTGATAGGGGCTTCTTGCAGTTCTTGATGAACACGGAGTTCCATGAGTCTGGCCCTGGGGCAGAGTGCATGGACATGTCATTTATCGCCTGTTCGAAGTCATTTGGCGTCAGGATAACATCGGATAGGCTTGTGTTAACCAAATTCTGTGGCTCTCATAAAAAATTCATTTTGATCTTCGACTCTCAGTCTGGTTAGCAGCTTGCTAAAAACTGAGTCATATTGGGACTTGAGTAGCTCACTCATTTCCTTGCTGTCATCTATGTAGGACCCATCTTGTTTAAGTAGGGGCCCAATACTGGACGTTGTTCTCGACTTTGATTTGGCATAGGAGAAGAAATACTTTGGGTTTCTTTCGATTTCATTTATGGCTTTTAGTTCTTCCTGCGATTCCTGATTCCTATAAGATTCCTTTAGCTTAAGTTCGATGCTTGCAATTTCTCTGACCAGTGTCTCCCTACGCATTTCAGATATATTGACCTCTTTTAGCCGCTCTGTTATTCTTTTCCATCGCCTGTAAAGGGAGCGCCTGTCTCTTTCTATTTTACATCTACTCCTCCTTTTTCTTAGAGGAATAAGCCTTGTGCATACATCGAGTGCCACCAAGTTAATCTGTTCTAGGCATAAGTTGGGGTCTGTGTTGCTTAGTATATCTTCCCAGCTTATATCGGTTAGGACTTGGTTTACTTGGTTCCACTTTATGTTTTTGTTATTGAAGTTGAATTTGGTGAATGCTCCCTCGTGACTAATCTCATTATGTCGGTCTGGGGCTCCATGCATACATGTCTGAACCTCAATTATGTTGTGAATCTGAGTATATTGTTTTTGATATGGTGACATTTCTTATCAGATCATCATTGTTAGTGAAGATGAGTCTAGTGTATTCTCCAGTCTAGTAGGCTCTATTATTTGCTGGTTTAAATTGAATTTTGTGCAGAGATTTAAAAGCTCATGTGAGTGTGAGTTTTCATCAGAGCTGCCTCCTGGTGTTATTACTGCAACAATATTATTTGCTATATTCCTCCATTTTAG